CCAAAGTATGGCACAAGGTGTCAGTCTGTAATGCACTCCCCCTTTTGAAGCAAGTCTGAGGCATTTCCTTATTGTATAAACTAGTTATCTAGAAAATTGCCATTATTTTAGAAAAGTGCAATTTTTTCAAATTATGTAGGGATTATGTGCTCTTAAGGGTACTTTGAAAATGACAGGTTTTCCAAAGAAAACCTTAAAAGCGTTTATGGGAGTCCAAAAGAAAAGTGCTTTCAGTAAGGGGAAAAATACTTTGATTCTGTTAAATAGATCATCCAAATTATTCTCTATACAGCTTCTCCCTGGAAAGTCATATTTTTCCTAGTTCTTTTCATTTTCATTCCCATAATTAGCCTTCCTAAGATTATTATATGTAATGTAATTTTGATTACATTAATGGACTGGTTTATAAGAAATATTCAAAAACAGAAAAGTAATATAAAAAGAAGGAAGGCCAACTGGAAAACTCACCCTATTAGCAGTTTTCAAGTATGAGGTTATCTCTAGAATTTGCATTTATGTTTAAATAATTGTCACAATTTATTCTCCAGCAGCATTTTGAAAATGAGGGCATATCTTCAAAGCTGACTGTTGGTCTTCATATTTCAAAAAAAGCATTGTTCTGTAATTTATGGAAATACTTATTAACACATTTTGTTTAGGTTTCTGTTATAATCCTGGGGACATGAAAATAAGCCATCAAATTCACAATTTCAGTTTTTCAAAGATAATCAATGAGATTCAGAAGTCTTTGAAATCAATAGTACATTTTTGTTTATGAGGGAGTACCTAGGTATCAATCGTATGGTATATATTTTTCAAAGAGTATAAAATATGTTTGGAACATTATTACAATATAGTGTCACTTATATGGACATCAAATAGATATTTTAGGGCTGGCCCCGTGGCTTAGCGGTTAAGTGCTCGCGCTCCGCTACTGGCGGCCTGGGCTCGATCCCGGGCGCGCCCGGACACACAGCTTCTCCGGCCATGCTGAGGCCGCGTCCCACATACAGCAACTAAAAGGATGTGCAACTATGACATACAACTATCTACTGGGGCTTTGGGGAAAAAAAAGGAGGAGGATTGGCAATAGATGTTAGCTCAGAGCCGGTCTTCCTCAGCAAAAAGAGGAGGATTAGCATGGATGTTAGCTCAGGGCTGATCTTCCTCACAAAAAATAAATAAATAAATAAAAAATAGATAATTTAACATACTAGTAAATGAATTTCAGAAAAGAAACCTTAAAAGAAAAACTCAAGTCAGCTCCATAAAACCTCTTTGTGTAACCTTAGTCCCAAACTTCATCAATCACTTCTACATCTCAGATCATTTCTTTTCCAAACATTTACCATGGCTGGAAAAAGAAATAAAGCTAAAGTGCTGAGTGAACTATTTCTTAAATCAAGAACTTTATTTCTGAACATAGACAGGTAAACGGCAAAATTATCTGCCACTGAGCATCCTTTCCATAGATTGTTTTCCTTGATGTACCATGTTTTAAGATTGGGGAAGACTGCTGCTAAGACTGTATAAGGAGAATTCACAATGTATTTTGATATTTAAGGCATTTTTGGGATTCTCAGAGCTTCATATCATTTTGTACAATATCTTAAAATGAGCACCTGCCATAAAGTGATGTGTACTGGGTACCTTGAAATTATTATTAAAATCATAAAAGTAGATCAAACATGGTCGGTGCCAAAAAAAGTATGCCACCCTGCTGAGGTAATTACTACATTTTTTAAATCTACCAATTTTTGTCATAAGTATTTAATCAATTCTCATGTATACTGGATATTATTTTATTTGTTTTCAGTTCATAGTTTTTCTCCCTCTCCTGTTTTTGTAACCCACATGGTACAATCCTGTATAGAGGGTTTGTATATATTTGTATATGTACATGTAAGAGTATATGAGAATAATATGTGTGCTTACGAAAATTTGCAAAGGAAATTTATTTTCACTCATGATTAATGAAAATGTTCATTCAGCCAGCAGTGGGAAAATGAACTGTTTGGTCATGTCCCACTGTACTGATAATATCAGAGACTGACTAAAATGCTTGTGATACACAAATTTATATATATACATTTTTCCTGCTTTGCCTCAGTAGCGGTGTAGCAGTTGTGGCCTGTGTTGGTGTTTTTTTTTGTTTGTTTTTTTGTGAGGAGATCAGCCCTGTGCTAACATCTTATGCCAATCCTCCTCTTTTTGCTGAGGAAGACTGGCCCTGAGCTAACATCCATGCCCATCTT